CTGATTACGCCCAGCCAGACAGCCGGGCGATTAGAAGAGCCCAGCGGGACGCGCTGTGCATCCGGGAGGCTTTGAAAGCCAGTTTCAAGACTGAGCAGGGTACCCAGTGACTTTTAAGTTTGTGGACACAGAAGCTGAACTTGCCCCCGTTTCTTTACCCGGTTGCCGTCGACTATCCTCTCCAGTTACATACCCCCTTCACCCCCTTCCCAAAAAATAAAATCTGTTCTGTTTTGTTAATGGACACCGTTGTCTTTATTACTGTTTTCGCGGGAATGTTTTAAACCTGGGACGCAGACTGTGGCATAAGATCTGTAACTGCCCTCCCCCGCCACAAAGTCACAGAGCAACACCCCCTCCCCCCCCCAGGACATGAAAACCACCTCCCAGACTGACCAGGATAACTAGTCACTGCACTGTATATGTGCCCTGCTGCTGGACCTGCCCCCTGCTAAAGGTGACTGTCCTGTCCAATTACCAAGCCCCTTCCCCCCCCCTTCAGACAGACTCTCCTCCAAAAGAAGAGGATGGAAACAGTAATGAACAGAAACTTATTTTTTATTAACAACCGCACATGGAACGGGGGGGTGAAACTTGGACGGGGTCTTGTGTGAGGCGGGTAGGAAAGGACTTTTCAAATTTTGGGGAATGAGAGCCTTCTAGTGGTAGAGCAGTCCGCAGGGGTGGAGTGAAATTTTTCACGGACCCTGCCGCCCCTCCGTGTTTGGACTTTGGGTGAGGGGGGTATGGGACTTGGTGGCGGGGCAGGGCAGTTAGAGAGAGACTGCAGCGGGGCTCTCTCCTCCTGCCTCCGGTCCTGCAGAACATCCACAAGGCGGCGGAGCGTGTCCGTTTGCTCCCTCATTAGTCCAAGCAGCGTTTGAGTAGCCTGCCAGTCCTCCTGTCGCCACCTCTCCTCCCGTTCAATGTTTGCCCGGTGCATTTGGGACAAGTTCTCCCTCCACTGTGTCTGCTGGGCTGCCTGTGCTCGGGAGCATCCCATTAGTTCAGCAAACATGTCTTCCCGTGTCCTCTTCTTCCTCCTCCTAATGTGCGCTAGCCTCTGGGCAGATGTGGCTGTGGGAATTGGAAAATGGGAGTGAATTCCTGAGACAGATCAATGTATCTGTGAACAGAGAACATAGTCTTTCTCTGTGAACAAGACCATGCAGAGCACCTATCACACGCGCACTGAGGACAAGGTCGAATTTTCGGCCCTCGCCTACAGTGCCTGCGGTCTTGCTGTGGCGAGCTGAGGAGCGGGGCAGGACACCGGACTTTGTCTAGCTGGCAAACATGGTAAGCCGTAGACTTGGGGCTGCTTAAAACTTTAAGAGTGGCACTGGCCTCCTTTCACATAGAAAGCAATGCGAGTCTCTGCTGGCAGCAATCCTGCAAGCATGAACTCTGCCCCTGTCCCAGCCCCTCGCGGCTGTAAACCGCGTGGCTGTAAACCGGCGGTTGCAGTTCTGTAAAGGGACGGGCAAGCAGTCCCAATACTAACTTTCCCCTACCTAATTCACAGCAGGGAGTCATGCCAGACATCACCCTCCTGAAGGTCTCTGCGAGCCAGAAGGAGCGGATGCTTCGTGACAGCCTGCAGAAACCGGGGCCATTTGCTGCAATGCTCTGCAAGGCCATGATACCCGAGTACCTGCTGGCGTTGTGGCAGGGAAACGTCTCATACCACGGGGGGCCTAATAAGCTCTCCCTGCCCAGGAACCTGCTCATGAGGCTTGAAAAACACCTGCAGGAGGCCTATGAGGAGTTCTCCCCGGAGGATCTCGCCTCTATCCCCGGATACATTGACCAGTTTTTGGCTTAGGTGCCCTTGGAGGGACAAAAGAGTGGAGCGTTTTGGGCAGTATAATCATGAAGCGGACATTGTGAAATTTTTTGAAAATAGTTCGGACTATATATTGAAGCGCCCAAAGACAGACTAATCATGATACCCTTTGCACATATTCCCGTTTTGTTGGACTTTACTCTTTACATGTTTTGAAGCACTTTACCCATTGTTAATATTTTAAATCTTCCTGTCCTGTTATAAATAAATGTTTACATGTTTGAAAGCACTTTAGCTATTGTTAATATTTTAAATATGCCAGTTATGTTATAAATAAATGTTTAGATATTTAAAACACTTACTGCTTGATCCTTCCCCTGAATCTGTGTCTGGGATAACGGCTGGGGAGGGTTGGTAGGGGATCTCTGTGAGGGTGATGAAGAGCTCCTGGCTGTCGGGCAAATCAGCGTTGTAAGCGCTGTCGACTGCCTCGTCCTCCTCATCTCCTTCCTCCTCTTCCCCGTCCGCTGAGGAACCGGCCACGGACAATATCCCATCCTCAGAGTCCACAGTCACTGGTGGGGTAGTGGTGGCGGCCGCACCTAGGATGGAATGCAGTGCCTCGTAGAAACGGGATGTGTGGGGCTGGGATCCGGAGCGTCCGTTTGCCTCTTTGGTCTTCTGGTAGCCTTGTCTCAGCTCCTTGATTTTCACGCGGCACTGCGTTGCATCCCGGCTGTATCCTCTCTCTGCCATGGCTTTAGAGATCTTCTCATAGATCTTTGCATTCCGTCTTTTGGAGCGCAGCTCGGAAAGCACGGACTCATCGCCCCACACAGCGATGAGATCCAAGACTTCCCGATCAGTCCATGCTGGGGCCCTCTTTCTATTAGATTGCACGGCCATCTCTGCTGGAGAGCTCTGCATCGTTGCCACTGCTGCTGAGCTCGCCACGGTGTCCAAACAGAAACTGCGATTCAAACTGCCCAGACAGGAAAAGGAATTCAAATTTTCCCGGGGTGTGGCTGGTCAGAGCATCCGAGCTCGGACTGCTGTCCAGAGCGTCAACAGAGTGGTGCACTGTGGGATAGCTCCCGGAGCTATTAGCGTCGATTTCCATCCACACCTAGCCTAATTCGATATGGCCATTTCGAATTTAGCGCTACTCCTCTCGTTGGGGAGGATTACAGAAATCGATTTAAAGAGAGCTCTATGTCGAACTAAATAGCCTCGTGGTGTGGACGGGTGCAGAGTTAATTCGATTTAACGGTGCTAAATTCGACATAAACGCCTAGTGTAGACCAGGCCAAAGAGGTCTGGTTCACAGTGGCTATACCCCCCAAAAAATAAAAAAATCATAATTAGAAAATGTGTTAACTAATGTGAGGTTAAACACAACTTGGCACTTAACGTGTCTTTGTCTAGGTTGTGTTTAAAAATGTGCTGGCTGGTCATGTTAACCTCAGTGGGGGGGTCCCCTATGGTTTACCGCAACCAGATAAAACATTTAAAATTACAGCTGTCCTAGGGCACATTAAAGCAGAACTGTGTTTAACACTGCTATTTGAAAGATGTTAGTGAACACATTTTCTAACAAGATGCTTTTCTCCCCTCCACTACAGACAAGACCAATGTCAGTTGAATCATCCGTCTCTGGTATTCCTTTGATTCTGTTCCATATCAATGCAACATATTGCTCCACTCCTCAAAGTTATCTAGGTAGACTCTCATCATTTCGTGAAAGCCTAGATCACATACAGATTAATTAAACCATTTTCCATCTATCTAGGTACTTATATGGCCTCTACCAACTTGTTTCACGGAATTTAGAGCCTCTGGGATAAGTCATTTGCCAGGATGAGATGGGTGAAGGTGAGTCCAGTCTCAGGTTACATGGGAGGACACCAGGAAGAAAGAAATAAAAATGTAAGGATACTTGCACAGTGTATCATTACACTGTAAGTTGTGTTTGCCAAAGATTTGATTCCTTTTTGGAAAGCTTTGTCACAACTGAAATTACAGACAGGTTAGAACCACTTCTGTACAATAAACCCCATTAGTGAATATTTTGCCTTTAGAACCATCATCACTGTATACACAAGAGGCATTCATTCTCAATGACTGTTGAATCTGGGCTGGTGCTTCATATTGTCATGAAGCATTTCCTGGCTGCTCTTTTATGAAGCCTTTGTATCAAGGTTGTTCATATTGTTTTAATAGGAGATTTTTGATAAGTTGGAATCAGTTAAAAAGATTTATTTAATGCATTTTTTCAGCAAATTTGAAAATTAAGAAAAGGCACTTTGATTAAAGCTTGTTTTGATCTCATAATAATGAGAAAAAGTATGAGAATTTCCAATTAATTTTATTTTTTTCCATTTGAATGATAGAAAATCTAAGGACAGTGCAAAGGGAAACCAAAAATATCTACAATCTTACAGCACAGAATGTGTACATTGCAGATTTGTTAATACAACAGCAAAGAAGAGGGATTTAAAAGGAAAGAGAAACTCGCTACACAGCTGTAAATAGCATGCACTGAGGAAACATGCTCCAGATTTTGAGCTGCATGCTTCAGTTTCTACGTTATCAAAGCAGAGTAATGTTGAGACACAGGAATGGATTTTCTTTATTGTCAGTAGATTTTAACACATTCCATCATTTTCAGAAAGATTTTTTTTTCCATCCGAACAAGCCAGCAGCAGCAGGTAGTCACAGAATGCAAAATTTGTTGATGCAAAAGAAATATGCTTTAGAAGAGAAGATTTTTTTTTTTTTTTTTTGCCATAGGAGAATATTTTAAACCTTCAGTCTCCACTCTCAACCAATCAGCATTCATCTGCTGTAATATTGGCAAGACAGAAAACTGAAGTAAACAGATCTTTTGGTTGGCACTTCTTGATATTGGGGTACATTAGGCAATAATGCAAGACTTTTAGACCTCTTACCCCTCACGTGTTCATATTCCTCTCTCCGACAGAATAAAGTATATAGTAATTTACTTTTAACTCCCCAAAAAATCTCCAAGAAATAAACAGTGTGCAATTTTTTTTAAATTTAGTTCAATGGTAAAAATGAAGTATTTACTAAACTGCACAGTCCAAATTTAAAGGATCATTCACGCACTGATCATGTGATGGTGAAAGGCCAAATAAAAGATCCATGAAAAGCAATTAAATTAGAAAGCAACCAACTGGCATAGCTTAATTCTTACCTTGGCTGTTTTTTTCACGAGTTGACATTTTTGCTGGTTATGGGACAGAAATAAAATAACTTAAAACTTTCTGAAGTCCTACCTCCCTGGTGTGAAAACTTTGTTACACAAGTCCAATATTTTCTATTTTATTTTTAACAAGTAAGCATATTATATATATTTCCTCTAGATAGATATACTCTCTCTCTCTCTCGGAAATAATTAACCACTTCATATATTTCTATGTTTTATAAAAGTAATACAAAATATTCCCCTCACCCAGGGCCCTGAGATCACAAAAAAACTCCCACTGATTCAAAGAGCTTTGCATCGCGCTCTACATCTTTTAGCAACAATCAACTGAAATAGCCCTTTGAGTAACTATTACCTTTATGTAAATTCTAAATCAGTGCTTCAGAAAGATATTTCATAATAACTTGGTTGTTTCCATTGGGATAATATTCAATTAGCAAAATTAGATCTCTCCAATTGCCCCAATATGTAAAAACAAATGTTTTCACTTACCTTGGCTGACAATGACATCTTTATGTCTGGGGAAAAACCACAAAATATATAATTAATGTGTATTAGTTATAATACTAATACTACCTAACTTCTATAGAGTACCACATTATGTTAAGTCTTACCAGACCTTAAAAAAAAAAAAAAAAAAAAAAAGTTCATTGGAGGATAGGTCTGATCCAATATGAAAGTTCTTATGTTCCTATGAATGAAACTGTGGGATAAGATGTTAGATAACCAATCCTAACCAATCCAGTAAAACCCCCACCTTTTGTCTCTTGTTTATACTTTGATTGTAAGCCCTTTGGAGTAGAGACCATCTTTTTGTTCTATGTTTGTACTGTGACAAGAATAACTGGGGTTCCTCGGAGCTATTGCTGTACAAATAAATAATACTAATAAAAATACTAAAATCATATTAGCATTTGTATATGGGAAATTGGTTTTTAGATAGCAAAAAAAAAAAAAAAAAACCCCAAAACATATAAAGCCTAATTTTTGGAGCTGAAGAGCACATTCAGCTTGCATTCAAGGTTCTTAGCACCTGTGAAAAATCAAGCCACGAGGTGACTAGTACATAATGATTATGAGTTCTTTTGAATAATTATCCAAGAGCTTGTATCAATGGAACTATTAATGTCAGAAAATGTGATCCTGATACTATGTCTCACTGCAAGTCAACTTTACCACAGTCCCACACAGAATCTCTAGACAAACAGTACTAGGTTTGCTCAGGGACACACAAAAGAAGTTTTCATAAGTGCTGACTTGTTAGTCTACACTCAAGGAAGCGCCATGCATGAGAAAAAAAAAATCTCAATCAATGTTTTTCAGAAGATGGGAGGAAAACTTAAATTTCCTTAGAATAACCTCCTCCTCAAGGTTTCTTGCTTGTTCAGGGAGACTTATTTCATGAAAACTGTCAACTGACTTTAAGCTGAGTAGCAAAATGGAGGTCAAATATTTGTATGGAGATCAAACATCTACAACAGTGATAGACAGTCAGACACACACACACACACACACACACACACACACACACACACTTACTTCTCACTGACTGCTTGTTCAATCACCCTTATTCTGGTCGCCAAATGGAAGAGTCCAGACTTGGATTCCCAGTTGATTTAAAAAAACTGGATAACTAGCTAAGGTGACAGTTACACTACTTCCTGCTATTTTATTGGGATGATTTATAACATGGCACTGGCTTTAAAACTGCTCTTAATAAACAAAGTTCAAAATCTGTGTCTAAAGTCCAAAGCATGTATAAAGGGACTTTTGTCCAGGGCCCAAGTTAGGGCTGGGTCCCTGTTTCCTCACACCAAAAATGGGATGGTTCTGATGCATTTTGGGCTTTTGCAACTTCCTCTAATTAATAACCTTAAATGCAATAAGCAAAATGCTGCCCTCTGATACATGCACACAAGCCAACTGATTCAACAGGAGTTGGGCATGCATTTCCAAGGGCATATTTGTAAAAAGTTGGTATTTACATGTCCTTCTCTCCACTTCTCCTCTCTTCCCCTCCCCAACCCGGGGTGCCTTTACAATGAATTTCAGTGCAGAGACAAGTGAATGATATGATACTTTCGTAAAGAATACAGTACACAGTCTTCAGGTGACATGATGGTAAAATGTTTTCACAACTTTTGAAGCTTCGCTTTCATTAAAGTATTTCAGGCTAAACAATGACCTGAAGATGCACTCAGATGATTGTTTTTCTCCAGCAATTATTATTATTCCTAATACTTCTGGCCCCCATTTAATCCACGATCACTGAAAAGTATAATTTTTTCTTATTCTAGGGAAAGACTGTAGAAGTGGAAAAATTGCAGCATTTCAAAGGATAAGCAGCATATCATAAAAAATGACAAAACATCTATACCGACTATATGTCTGAACTACTGCACAAATTCAAAATGCCTGTAAAGAGCAACCGTTTTTAAATATAATGTCTACTGTAATTAAGCTGTTTTAACAGGATAGCAATAACTGAAAAAAGGAACTTGATAAGCTGAAATAAAGCCAGAGGATTTAGCTAGAGAGTTTTTCAGTCTTTAAATAGCTTTTACCCGTATCCAGCAACAGCCTGAATTGACAGAGGAATTTTAGATTTCAACAATAAAAACCATTTAGAAAAGGGAAGAAAATTGTGTGCAGAATGTCTAAACCATAATCCTTAGTGCACAATTCTTTAGTGTTCTACAGAATTCTCCAGTCTAGGTATAAAGCTATTACTAAATGTATGTATTGCTGTCAGGTAAGATTAGCATATTATTGTGTCCCCCTTTCAATTTTAAGTTTTATACTGGTCCTGAGAATCTGTATAAAACAACCTATTTTACATTATTAATACATTCATTAATGCCAGTAGATTTGAATTTTATTTTTTAATTTCATTTACAAATTCAGAACTCATTTTAATGATAACCTCCCTGTATTTCATCAGTATTCTTACTGATTTACACACATCATTTTGCAGCTTCATTCAAAGCAATTCTATTTAAGCCACCTTTACAGTTAATTAGCTCTACAGTGAAGTTACTGTGTAAAAAGGCACCTTTTTCCTGCTCCCTGTGTGTATTCAGAGTTGTATTTGTTTATACCACAGAAAAAAATGTTACTTCTTGTTCTTTGTTAGCACTGCAGAGCCAACACAGTTAAGCTTTATGCCCTATTATGTATGATCAATACCATTTAAAAAAAACCTCCTAAATTCTGAGACCTGATTCTGCAAACATATATATACATGCTTAACCTTACTACCGCTTGAGTTTGATGGGACTACTTGCAGTAGTAAAAGTAAGCATGTGCATAAGTGTTTGCAGGATCTGGGTCTAAATCAAACTTCTGCAAACTCATCAAAAATGAAGAGAGTAGCACAGATGTATCCGAGAGTATAATTTGGCCTCTTATACCTGGTGATATTGCTCAAGAAGGAAAAAAGACCTGTTTTACTTTTCAGGTTGAGTTTGCAGAATGGGCCATGAGAAAAAAATCTTTATTTTTAAACTGAGCATATCTGAGATACGGAAACATGGAACCTCACAACACCATTTTACAGTTACTTTTAAGTGTAAAACTGCAGCTAAACATAAATCCAGAAAATGCATATCTGAATTTACAATGAAATAAAAACTTTGTCTGAAACCTTAACATTTCAAAATGTATTTTTAGATAAAGAAAAGAGAAGTGGAGAAAACTTACAGAATCATAGAAATGTAGGATTGGAAGGGACCTTGACAAGTCATCAACTTAGTCCCTTGTGCTAAGGCAGCACTAAATATTAACTAGACTAGGGGTCTCAAACTCAAATGACCATGGGGGCCACATGAGGACTAGTACATTGGCCCGAGGGCCACATTACTGACACCTCCCCCCCCTGCCGCCCTCAGCCCCGCCCCCACTCCACCCCTTCCATGAGGCCCCGCCCCTGCCCCGCCTCTTCCCACCCCTTTCCCTGCCCCCATTCCAACCACTTCCCTGAAATCCCCACCCCAACTCTGCCTCCTCCCTGCCCCAGGCGGTGCAGGAGGGGTGTGGGGTGTGGTGGGGGCTCAGGGCAGGGAGTTGGGGTGTGGGGTGCAGGAGGGGTGAGGGGTACAGCAAGGGGTCAGGGTGCAGGGTGCGGCAGGGGGCTCAGGGCAGGGGTCAGGGTACGGCGGGGGTCGGGGTGCGGCATGGGGCTCAGGTCAGGGGGTTCGGCTGCAGGAGGGGTGCGGGGGGCAGGATCTGGCCCGGCACGTACCGGGGGCAGGGCAGGCTCCCTGCCTGCCTGTCTGCCCTGCCCCCGCAAGAGGCTGGAACGTGGGGAAGGGGGGACGGAGGGGCGGTGTGTTTCTGTTGCTTGAGGCACCGCCGCCAGCAGTTCCCGTTGGCCACGGTTCCCCGTTCCCGGCCAATTGGAGCTGCTGGGGGCGCTGCCTGAAGCAACAGCCACACACAGCCCCTCCGCCCCCCGTTCCCCATGTTCCAGCCTCTTCCCGGAGCTGCGCAGGGCAGGGCAGGCAGGGAGCTGCCCTGCTCCCGGTGCACGTCCGTCCGGAGCCGCTCTGGTAACGACTGGGGAGGGCGGGGGGGCTGCGAGGGGCTCGCGGGCCACAGAAAATCACCCCACGGGCCGCGTGTTTGAGACCCCTGAACTAGACCATCCCTGACAGGTGTTTGTGGAATCTCTGTCATTGGAGGTTTTAAAGAACAGGTTAGACAATCTCTCTAGGTAATTTATTCCAGTGCTTAACTATCCTTACAGTAGAAAGTTTTTCCTAATGTCTAATCTAAATCTCCATTGCTGCAATTTAAGCCCATTACTTCTTGTCCTGTCCTCAGTGGCTAAGGAGAACAATTTATCACTCTCCTCTTTGTAGCAACATTTTATGTACTTGAGGACTGTTATGTCCCCTCTCGGTCTTCTCTTCTCCAGGCTAAACAAACCCAGCTTTTCAATCTTCCCTTACAGGTCCTGTTTTCTAGACCTTCAGTCATTTACGTTGCTCTCCTCTGGACTATCTTGCTTACAACACCCCTGATAATACATCCCAGAATGATGTTCGCGTTTTTTGCAACAGTGTTACATAACTGACGCATATTTAGTCTGTAATCCACTATAACCCCCAGATCATCTGCAGTACTTCTTCCTAGGCAATCATTTCCAAGTGGGGAAATTTATACATGAATGACAGTGGGCCTTAATATGCATGCATAATTTGTAAAATCCAAACATGTAGCAGTGTAAGCATATTCATGCTTTAAAATAATACATCTACATTTTGCAGGGATTTTAAGATTCTCTGGAGATTTCTTGCATTAGAGAGGTGAATAGCAGATTATGCAGACAACATCTACAAAATATTAACAATGCAAACTGACAGTTTATAAATTTGCGTATGTAATAAAATTAAAAATTTAATTTCAGAGGGTTTTTATTCTTAAAATTTGCGGATACCATTTTGCTACAAACTGCAATACTTACTTCTCTGCATTTTTTGCCACTTTTGATATCAGTTTTGATGTTGAAGCTGCCCTCAACAGTTTATTACGACTGTCATCTGAGTTGTCCCACATGCTATGTGATTTTTCAATGGTCGAAGTTCGCTTTATGCTAAAAAACACAAAATTTACTTTTAAAATTAAAAATTAATGAGCTAACGATAGCTGGTGCTGGTATGCAACTGACAGATCAAGCAGCAGGAGACAAAAGCAGTGCTAGGACTTCCTTCAAGTTGATCCAGAAAACAGAAATAAAGATTAGTCAAAAAGTTCTAACCAGATGAGTGAAAGCAACTGAGGAAGGCAATTGCAAAATTCATTTGTTTGACCTATTCATTGTGATTTTTAAAGTGGCCCTAATAAAGGATGACTTTTTACCTTTCTGTGACATTGCTAGTAAATTAAAACGATAAGTGGAATGAATTTAATAAGGCTAGAAAAGTTTAGCTCAAAGAACAAATAAATAAATTTTGAAAAGATTTCTATTTTCAACACAAATTATTAACTCTATTCTATGGCTATTGAACACAATAAAATGTTTTGAATGCTGAGCTGTTTTGTCAGCACATAGATAGGGCACAATTCCATAAAAAGTGTTCTGCGGTGGGAAGTTCCAAACCCTGTAAGCCACTGACCGTTTGGAAACAAATAGCTCCAAAACAATGGTCCAAAATCCTGATTCCTTTGTTCATGCACAACATTCCATTCACTTCTGTGAGACTTCCTGGAGAGGAATAAGGCAAGCAGGATTTGGCCCAATATCATGGAAAATTAGACCCATGAATATCTGATAGACTACATCAGCAATCCTGCTGGAGCCAAATTTATGCTAATTGCAGTTTAAAACTGTTTTGTAGTCACTGGTTTCACTGAAGTTAATTTCATGTATAATATCTTTATCATAGGAAATTTGTTTAAATCTGGTCTGGCTATAACAGTTATTAAATAACCTGAATTATGATTCTGCAGATGCCCTGCCAACAACCTTGCAACTCATCCAGTCAAAAATACTTTTTGCAAGAATAACATTCAAACTGCAACTCTAGAAAGGCAAGCTTATTTCCACAGTATCTCAAGAAGCTGAAAAAAGACTGTGACAAACAAGTTAACAAGACATATTAAAATATTAAGAGAGACTAAAAAGCCATCTCCCCCCACAACAAATTAGTATGCTAAACCCACGAACAAGAAGTCTCTTTACAGTAAGATGCCAGGCAGGAGAATAACAAACCAAAGTTCAACTTTAGATTGTGTAAGAGTTTGTGCAAGACATGGAGACACAGCCTTTATGAGTGTTAAACATGCATCAGTCAAGTGAAAGGGTTGTTTTTATTTTCTATTGGAATTGTGAATTCAGGCAACACAAGCCAACATAGTTTTGTAAACCAGTGCAAATTTGAGAGTATAATTCATTTGTTATTGAGTTTGTTTTAGTCTTCTAAAATGCCAAGTGGTCCGAGAAACAATTCCATACCTTCCCAAGGTTTCAAAATAATAAAGGTGACAATGGATCATAACAAACTAGTAATGAACTTGAACATTTACAAATTTTAAAATGGGTTTATTTGAAAAATATTCAATTTTAAAAATCAAAGAGCACCATCCTGCAGATGTTTTCTGCACCTAACTCTCACTGAAATCAGCAAGAATTCTGTATGTGCAAGGCTGCAGGATCAGGCCCTAAACGAATCCCTCCCGTTCCCCTTTCCCCGGTCAAACAGTTGTTTAACATTGGTGTAGAAATATGACCCCAAACATGTCTGTAGAATCAGAATCCTAGATATCAGATGAAATCGATCATTCTGTAACCAAGCAGGGATATGAGAAAAAAGCAAAAGATCCAAACTGCAGTCACGTTAAACAGTAGTTTGGGAAGAAAGGCACCCGAGTCAAGGGTTGTAATGATACTAGTTTATGACAAGTGCTATTGTGACATGTGGTAAACAGTATAAGACGTGCTTCACAGTTTTAGTTGGCCATGTTTAACATAATGCCTTTAAAGCATACTTTCAGAGATATTACATCTTGGCATGTTTTAAATATATATATATATATATATATATATATATATTTAATAAGATTGTAATTAATCTCTCTTTATCATATTAGGATGTCTTAAGACACTGCAAAGTACACAGGATATCATTCTATTTTTCTCATCTTTAAGAAATATTTGCATTTTTAATCTTTATTTTATGGTAAATGTTGTAATGCATCTTATGTGCAACTTTGCAGCACAAAAAATACTGATTTTTGCACTCAGTTGTGAAACTGGATCTTGGTTTCTCAAAATTTGCTGTTAAATGTGGACTCTTAGTATCATTACAACCATTTTCTAGCTCTGTACTTTGGTACTGTGAAAACCTTTTAGCTGGAGCAGAGCTCTTGCTTTCTTGAGTTTGCCTGTGTGTTTGGAGAGTCTGTAAGGAGGGCTGGGGAGAAGGTGATGCTCGAATTTGTGGATTTTGATCATTAGAATGAGTTTCCTCTTTTTTTTCTCTCTGTCCTTGAGGTTTTTCCTTTTTTTCTGTACCGCTGTAAAATAAAGTATAAGATGGAACAATAGAGAATAAGCAAATAAATTGAAGGTGAAAAAAATGCACACATTTTATCAGAGAAGGAAGAAGCAATTCAAAATTCATTAAAGAATAATCACCATAAGAAAATGTGTGGTTATCTACTGATGTTGTTGAGTTTTGTTAATGAAATTATTAGTAAAGTACTTTGCTAAAAGCAAAGATCAAACAGTTGAAGAGAGCTTCCTGTCAAGTTCTAAGAAATATTATTATATTACTTGGAAAAGTAGCGAAGGTTTTTCGCTGGTTTAGGTTCATCACTTACCCCTTCCCATTTAAAGCTGAACACAGCTCCTTTCAATTTAAAATATGCACTGTTATCTATCCTAGGTTCTGCTGTATCTCTCTCTGCAGATTGTTGTGTATGCTTTGTGCCTTCAAGCCTTCCATTGTCAGCAATAAAATGCATTGACTGGTCATGGGTCTCTCCAGAAGTGGATTAACTAAATGTGCCATGTACCAAATCAACTACTGGGTACACCTTTTTTGGTCCTATTTGGCCATAACAGATATTAAATGGTTAAACTGTCACTTTTTCAGCACCTGTGGTAAACAAACTATGAGTTTACAATTCCTTCACTTTTAACAATGTAATGGAGCATAATCTTTATTGTTTTAACATTTTAAATCCCTTTAAATAATTTTAAGTGGCAATTTTAAAATGTTCTTATTCATGAAGGGCCTGGTCCAAAGTCCACTGAAGTCAATAGCAAGACTCCTATTGCTGTCACTGATATTTGGACCCAGCCTCAACATGGCTAGTTTTGTGCATGTGCTCATGCATACATGTTTATGTGACAAACTGATGGCTAGTTACCACATTTGTGCACAAACAAAATTAACAGTCACTCTTTGAAAATGTGACTCTCTAATGTAGATGTCCCTCACTAGTTCAGGTCCCCATGATCCGTTGTGCTGTGATGTATGAAAGGGAGCAAAGCAACACCAAGGAGCAGAAGGGCCCCGGATTCATGGGAAAGGGCAAGCAGAGCCTTTGTAGAATGCTCACCCTTTTCCCAAGCCTGGGGAAGTCCTTCGAGTGGTCAGCACTTTATTGGACTTGGGGAAATAAGTTGGGGTATAATGGGGGAGCAGCTTCTCCAGGCAGCATGATTCCCCCTTCACAGGAAATGAACATCTTCTTTTGCATCCCCTGTCCCCTCCTCAAATGTGTGAGTGTGTGCCCTTACGGGCAAATGCTCCTGGTGCGAAGAGAGAGGATGAGGAGGGGACTGGACCACCATACTGGAATCCAGAGACTTTGTAGGCCATGTTTTCTAACTCAACAGTGTCTCAAATCTCCCTGTTTTGAGAGTAGAATTCACCTAAACTCAGAGTTTAAACTAGGAGGGATCTTTCACTCCTGCAGGCTTCTCCCCATAGCAGAAGAATACAGTCCTGAAACAGCCAACAATACATTTTTGCCATATAACATTCTTTAAAGAATATGGAGAGGATCAGAGTTAAAAGACCAGTTATGCAATCCCCACTTAACTGAGAATTTACTCTTGTCATGTGACTTATTTCAAGTACATTGCTGCATGTTACCTGTGACATGCTGAAGCAAACACACAATGGCAAGACGAGCTTCTCAAGGTAGTAGTATTCTGCTGCATATAGATGTTTTCTTCCTTTAATTATACTGAAGGTGGACTCTTAAATGTTACAGCAATTTGAAGTCTGACTAAATTTTTCACGTGCCATAAAACAAAATAAAAGCAGCAAGAAGAAAGGTTACCATTCTCCCACCTCTAATTTTGTCTGGTATTCCCTCTCTCAAGTTAAAAGTAATCTACAAATTAAAAAAATAAAGATTATACAGCCTAGAGCAGCAAAGTAGGTACAAAGAAGAGATGAAATGTTGTTTTTCCCCCTATCTCCAAATGAAAAAGAAAAAAAGAGGAGGGTGTTTTTTTCCTGCTTCCTTTACTAAATTAGAAATTCTGGACTCATCTATCTACCTTTCCCCCCAAAAGGCACTCTGGAAACAGAATCCAGATGGAATGGAAAACTAGCACCAACTATGGAAACAGAATCTGATTCTAAGTGAAAGTAGAGATGATTTTTATTCAGAGTATCTAAAACACTGGGTTTCATTTGTTTTTGTTAGTCGCTATTTAATTCAAATTCACTAAGTGCAGGTAGGAGAAAAAGCTGTCTTTGTTCAAGATTCAACATCTCATCCCACTAATTAAGGGCTCAAAAGTTTCCAACCCACTTCTCCGAATCCTTTCGGGGAAAACTACAGTAAAAAGCAGGGAATAAAAGACAGGATATTCCTGATGGTTTCAATATCAAAAAAATACATATTTATAAAGAATCATTCGGGGATATGTCATACATCATAAAGTAGCAAGAAAGGGCACAGACCCAAGTTTTTTGTTTTTGAGAGTTTCCTTCAATTTAACTTGTCAAGGCATATTTTGTTTTAAAGGAAGTCACTAGAAGAGAAATTAAAATAGAAATATGCTTGTTTTGAAGGCAGTTATGGAACACGCAACAGTATTTTTTCACCTTCAGTGAAGCTATGCTTGTGATTGGCTCCTGAGATAAGAGCATGATGACTTTTGGTGGGTTGGTAGATAAACTTGTGGTCTCAAGTCCCTGTTCAACTGGAACTCTGAAAGCCATTTTTTGTTTGCACTAGGTTTAGCTTGCATTACTGGAAACAAGAACACTTCGAACAACTTTCACCTTTTTCCAAAGTCTCTGACAAGATAATGGAGTACAGAAAAACAAGCCCTAGCAATGTCTTACCACTAAAGAAAATAACAGGCTCTTATTACAATTATGAAAGCTTTACTTTGTGCTCACAATCCTGTATGGTCAATTTACTTATTAACAATGATGCTTGTCATAACCTCTTCTTCCCCTTTCCTACAATGAATCAAAGACTGAGTGAGTCCATCTACCAGGAAGCAAGGAGTTAGAGAGAGAGAGTGTGTGTGTCACTTAGGAAGACACACACAAACAAGCATTTCCCCTAGCTCTCTAGTCAAGAAACCAACAAAATACACACAGTTGTGTTATGAAGTATATGGGGAGGAGAGTGAAAGCAGGATGGAAGAGAGAACTGTGACAAAAGTAATTACTGGAAAGTAATTCCAACTTGTGAATTGTCTCTTCTTCTTCTCTCAAACTACAACAAACCAGAGACTGGAGTGAGGATGTGATCTTACCTGAAGTCTGACATTTTAAGGTTATATTTAACTGAAGTCATTCTTTGGAGAACACACAGTCCAAATGAAACTGTGTCACATTAATCCACAGACTCTTTTATAAACTGTCCAAAATAAACCACAATGGCTGATGAGTGAACAGCCAGCCATCTAGTCATCTGCAGAGCAGTCCTTATACCACACCAAAATGTGAACACTTTTCAGATCCTGGTGACCTCCAACTTGCTTTTGACAATCTACAAGCTCTTTCCATCTGGAACTCGTGGCCTTCAGTCAGACCAGAAGGCTGAATCTCCCCAAAACGTTCAAAGGGAAACGGTCCTTAACGAAGGATGTCTATAGTCCTTCAGAAACATTCCTGTGACCTGAAAACCAAGGTACACATGGCTAAGAGGGGGTCAAACAAAATCACCTTTGCTCTGACCTGTCAGGTTTTGCAGAGAATTTAAGGAATTGGGAAAAGGAACAGGAAAGCGTAACCCAGCTCTCCTCTTCCATTCATCAAAAATACTCTCTCCCTATAGGAAAGGGATAGAGAAACAGAAAAATCTGGGTGATTTTGCAGAATTCCTGGTGGCATGCTAGTTCTAAGAGATGACCCAGATACTGACATACAGAATGGAAAATCTCCAGATTCAGGCGCCATTCCCCTGGGATCAATCCCATTCAGCTGAGCCAATCTTTGCCCTGTAAATAGACTGCCCTAACAGAAGCCAGAATTATATACGACACTGAGACTATCCAGGCTCAGGTTTTCAAAGGAACCAGGTTCCCAAATCCCTTGGTGCCTTTAAAAAATCCCAGGCTGTGCTTCTGAAATTACGGCTCAATTTTTAGCATCCCACCTGTGGGATGATGTAAGACACTGCTGTACAGCTGTTGAATCATAATAGAACCAGAAGGCCACTAAGTAACAGTGTGCAAATATAAGATTTAGTTTCACTGCCCTCAGTTCAACAAGTTGATGTTGCATGAGCACTTTAAGGGGAAAATTTGCACTGAAAGCAAAGGGGCCTGAATGGCATTCTCTAACCCCAAAAGTTTGTGTTGCAATTATACAAACCTGAGCTGTTGGTGTGAGTAAACCTTAGATTCAGAAGAATATTGCTGTACCAGTGATGAAACAAGGAGTGAATCATCCAGAAAATGGAGATTCCTTTACACCACCAGAAGAACTACTAATTAAGGTATATTCTAGGAAGCCTGGTCTATACCGGCAGCCAAGTAGTCTAAGAAATTTGTGATGCGAAGACAGGCTGAAATTAATAGCACTCCTGGAAGTAAAACTGCAGAGAAGACAGTCTGTCTGGATACATGGAAGCCTTCCCAGTATGTTTCTAGGATCATACCCACATAGAGTAATATCCTGGAAGGCTATAGATGGGTTTTCTCCCCAACCAATAACAAATGTATGATCATACAGCAACCAGCTGACTTATCTCTCATCTGGACAAGCTGTGTCACAGAGCCCACGGAACCTTTATCCAGATTATCTGTAGTCTTGGTGAAGTGGTATATGTCCAAGATTCTCCTAAGTGATTTCACAGAGCTCCTGGTGACATGGAGGGAGGAGATGCAGGAGTGATTCTTTCCCCCATAAGGTCTTGGGTCTGACATTCTCTCTGATTCTTCTCAAACTCTCTTTTCCTTCCTTCCTTCTGGCCATCCATCCATCCATCCATCTTCTTCCCTTAGGTCTGGCTCCACTAAAAGCTATGTTGACATAGCTAGTCTCTTCCCTTGTCTCCTTTTTTTTGCTTTGAGCAGGATGTGGGAGGGACAAGCTGGGAAGGAAGTATGAAAGAGAGGGCAGCCACACGGACTCCATACTTCCAGGACAAGATTAATGGGGAAGTGCTAGCTCATATATACCTTCCAAAGTGACTCTCTCTTTTACAGCTCCTGGCTTTCCAATAGATAGAGATGTACATCACTCAGTATCCAATTCATTGTAGGATAGGGGAAGTCAGACATTTAAAAACTAATACACTACATAACTGAGAACAGGAAAGAGCAAATTAATTCTGCTTTCTGTACTCAAAAGAGCCTTAAACATTTTCTGCTTCACTCTTCCTGTTTAACTGTTTTACTAATTAAAGGCAGAAGAAAAGGTAAGTGGCCTAGGTTTACATACGATATTGTTAATACCTAAAATATACTGCATCCCTGTCTAATTGTGTAGCACAGTATTTAAATCCACACTTAATTATAAATCATCCACTGAAGTCAGCACAGTACTCTACAGAGACCGAGAACTTTTCACATATAATTTAACAGATGGTAAAACATTTATGTGTGCTGTGTTCCATAGCTGTATCTGTGGCAGCTTTTTCTTTCATTCTCTCCAACAAACAGGAGCAGAAACAAACCATTCCTCTGAGATGCTGAAAAATGAGTGGTTAAAAGTCCCCGAAGAAAACAATAAATAAGAAAACACTTTGCTGGCTCCTGAAACCACTGTATGAAAAAAATCAATTAAAATATATATTAGATACTAAGTAAAATGCAAATTCAAGCTATGTTATTTTTACAAATTTGTTTTGTAAAATCCTGCAATAAGAACTCTCTTAAGTTTGAAATGTTATGTATAAAGTTATAAAGAACCGATTAACACACTGTCCTAAATTCACCTAACTTGTTTCATAATTTTCACTTTGGTATCATCTGCTATTTTATTTCAAGACCATGATGTCAGATTTGTTGTTTATTTTCTTTCAAGAATAAAAAAATTTAGGTGCATGCTAAAAAGCATGAATGTCTGTCCAAGCATGATGTCTGTCTGTTCAATTTTGGAACAAAAATCCCTATTAGAAATATGTTTTTTTTCTCTTTTAGTGAAAATTTAATTTCAGGTATTGTACACTGTAAACCAAAGTGATCTCCATTTGTGATCCCCTTTCTATATATCCAGCTGTAATGAATTCTAATGGTATGCTATGAGTCTAAATCCTATTCTTTAATTGGTATATATCAGAAAACTTCAAAATTAACCCAGAATGGGGCTTCCTTATTGTGGTTTTGTATAATTTAACTTTTTAAGAAGCAAGTACCTTTTAGCAGCAGACGAGAGGGTCTCTTTTCTGGCAACTGATACAGAGGAACTATGGCTTGTTTTTCTGCTTCCTGCACTTCCATTGGTTATACAGGACATAGAGATAGCTTCTCGGAGGCCTGGTTGACCTACAAGGAATTCAAGGAAAAGAGATTTTATATTAGCTTTCAAAGCATCCAGGTGTCATTCAAATTAAGAACCATAACTGGTGGGGTTGGCTTTCATACAGCATTGTTGCTGGCATTCAAGACAAAGGATTTGTGTATTAATCCAAAAATTGCTCTCTGAAATCATTTAAAACTTTAAGAGAAGCCCATAGGAACAAGAACAATTCATATGTGGTGTGTATGGTATGAACACCTTCATGTGTGGGGTAGGTGGATGGATAGATAAAGACTTATTGTCAACCATTCACACCAAACCAATAAACATGAAGTTTTTGCAAAGAAATACTGTGTTTTGATAGTTGAAAAATTTGTTTAAGCTAGGAATAAAGTTTATCTGACATGATACTATTAACCAAAAATATGTTCACATACACATCTGGCTAATGAAACAGCACTATAACGGCCAGAACTAAGGATGTTTGTACATAGGGGGATTCTTTTGTAGATTTAAAAAATGGAAACATTAAAGCGACATTTTAAATTGCAAAGTGGAGTAACTCAAATGGGATGTTACAGTCAAATGGTAAATTATAATACAATGCTCTGGCACAGTATCATCCTAAACTTCACTTGCCACAGGATTATTTTAGTCCTGATTACAACAGGAATACAAATTCCTTCTGCAGCAGCATTCTGTGGCTCAAAAAGCTGAGTCATCTTAAATCATCACATTTCCAAGAAGCTCATCTGGTAGTTTATCTCATCATTATCATCCCTTCATAAAGTGCTTTGTAATAATAAATATGAAGGAACCAGAAAGATAGCATGTCATTACTGAATTACGATGAATTTCAAACCATTCCCATTAGGTAAATATCTAAGATACTATATGCAAAGAAATGTACATTTAGAGTGGAAAATCCTGTGTAAGGGGAGGGTGCACAACCTCTGTTGGGACTTCCTACGCCTTGTGAACAGGCACCACCCCCGCAGCTCCCATTGGCTGCAGTTCCCAGCCAATGGGAGCTGCAAAGCCAGCGTTCTGGGAGGAGGCAACGCGCAGAGCTGCCTGGCCACGCCTCCGCCTAGCAGCTGAGCGAGGGGGATGTCGCCGCTTCCAGGGAGCCCCCCAGGTAAGCGCCGCCAGAACCCACCTCACCGTGGCCGGTGCCCCAATTCCTTGCCCCCTCCCACACCCAAACTCTGCTGCGGGGGAGGGGGAATGGGCCGAGACTGCCCCAGCAGCGGCCAGTGCACCTGGCGCAGGGGCTGCCTGAGCTGCCTCTGAGCCAGGCACATCAGCCACTGCAGAAGTCACAGAAAGTCCGCTGGTTAGGAAAGATAGAAAAAGTGGCAAAAGACCCCCTTGGCTTAACCACGAGATCTTGCATGATCTAAAAAATAAAAAGGAGTCATATAAAAAATGGAAACTAGGAGAGATTACAAAGGATGAATATAGGCAAACAACACAGGAATGCAGGGGCAAGATTAGAAAGGCAAAGGCACAAAATGAGCTCAAACTAGCTATGGGAATAAAGAGAAACAAGAAGACTTTTTATCAATACATTAGAAGCAAGAGGAAGACCAAAGACAGGGTAGGCCCACTGCTTAGTGAAGAGGGAGAAACAGTAACAGGAAACTTGGAAATGGCAGAGATGCTTAATGACTTCTTTGTTTCGGTCTTCACCGAGAAGTCTGAAGGAATGCCTAACGTAGTGAATGCTAATGGGAAGGGGGTAGGTTTAGCAGATAAAATAAAAAAAGAACAAGTTAAAAATCACTTAGAAAAGTTAGATGCCTGCAAGTCACCAGGGCCTGATGAAATGCATCCTAGAATACTCAAGGAGCTAATTGAGGAGGTATCTGAGCCTCTAGCTATTATCTTTGGAAAATCATGGGAGACGGGAGAGATTCCAGAAGACTGGAAAAGGGCAAATATAGTGCCCATCTATAAAAAGGGAAATAAAAACAACCCAGGAAACTACAGACCAGTTAGTTTAACTTCTGTGCCAGGGAAGATAATGGAGCAAGTAATTAAGGAAATCATCTGCAAACACTTGGAAGGTGGTACGGTGATAGGGAACAGCCAGCATGGATTTGTAAAGAACAAATCATGTCAAACCAATCTGATAGCTTTCTTCGATAGGATAACGAGTCTTGTGGATAAGGGAGAAGCTGTGGATGTGGTATACCTAGACTTTAGTAAGGCATTTGATACGGTCTCACATGATATTCTTATCGACAAACTAGGCAAATACAATTTAGATGGGGCTACTATAAAGTGGGTGCATAACTGGCTGGATAACCGTACTCAGAGAGTTGTTATTAATGGTTACCAATCCTGCTGGAAAGGCATAACGAGTGGGGTTCTGCAGGGGTCTGTTTTGGGACCGGCTCTGTTCAATATCTTCATTAACGACTAAGATAGTGGCATAGAAAGTACGCTTATTAAGTTTGCGGATGATACCAAACTGGGAGGGATTGCAACTGCTTTGGAGGACAGGGTCATAATTCAAAATGATCTGGACAAATTGGAGAAATGGTCTGAGTTAAACAGGATGAAGACAAATGCAAAGTGCTCCACTTAGGAAGAAAAAATCAGTTTCACACATACAGAATGGGAAGAGACTTTCTAGGAAGGAGTACGGCAGAAAGGGATCTAGGGGTTATAGTGGACCACAAGCTAAATATGAGTCAACAGTGTGATGCTGTTGCAAAAAAAGCAAACGTGATTCTGGGATGTATTAACACGTGTGTTGTGAGCAAGACACGAGAAGTCATTCTTCCGCTCTAGTCTGCTCTGGTTAGGCCTCAGCTGGAGTATTGTGTCCAGTTTTGGGTACCGCATTTCAAGAAAGATGTGGAGAAATTGGAAAGGGTCCAGAGAAGAGCAACAAGAATGATTAAAGGTCTTGAGAACATGACCTATGAAGGAAGGCTGAAAGAATTGGGTTTGTTTAGTTTGGAAAAGAGAAGACTGAGAGGGGACATGATAGCAGTTTTCAGGTATCTAAAAGGGTGTCATAAGGAGGAGGGAGAAAACTTGTTAACCTTAGCCTCTAAGGATAGAACAAGAAGCAATGGGCTTAAACTGCAGCAAGGGAGGTCTAGGTTGGACATTAGGAAAAAGTTCCTAACTGTCAGGGTGGTTAAACACTGGAATAAATTGCCTAGGGAGGTTGTGGAATCTCCATCTCTGGAGATATTTAAGAGTAGGTTAGATAAATGTCTATCAGGGATGGTCTAGACAGTATTTGGTCCTGCCATGCGGGCAGGGGACTGGACTCGATGACCTCTCGAGGTCCCTTCCAGTCCTAGAATCTATGAATCTATGAATCTGTTACTTCTGTGATCCCCCGTGACAAACTTGCAGCCTTACTTATAATTTTGCCAAACTTTAATTGTTTGGGCTGAAATTTCCCATGCTGGGTGTCTAGCTCAGGCTGAATTATTTTGGAAAATTATTTTGGTAAGTGCCCACCAAGAGCCCGCCTCTCCCCATCCTGTGCCGCATCTCCCGGCCCCCTTCCCACACCCAAACTCTGCTGCTGCTGAGGGGATGGGGGGGAAAGTGCGGAGCCAGGTAGGGAGCCTGCCGGCCCCAATGACCCCTCACCCCAAGCACCAGCAGGGGTCCTGGTCCGTGCGCCACCACCCGCCTACCACCCAAGAAGGCGGGCTGCCCTTCCCCAGCACCTGCAGGGCAACCCCCCAAATGGCTCAGCCATCTCCAAGAATGAAGCTATAGACAAATACATTGTTTTACCCATGCTACAAAACATTGACAACCTTTGCTTGAGATGTTCTTGCATCCCCTGCTTTGGAGCAGGGACTTGGTCACTGAGAATAAATGAGGAACCAGGGCCAAAGACTGGAAGCCTGTGGAGATGGGGAATGTGGAAGCTGGAGGCAAGGCTGCGCAAAAGAGATAGATTGGAAGAGCAGTTGGGAGGGGGGAAACTGGGGCTGGATTGGGGAGACAGGGGGATTGTAGAGGAGAAAGTGGGAATGGCAGGGCAAGCAGACTTGCACTAGGAGTGGTGAAAGATTGGAACTGGTGGGGAGCAGACCAGAACTGATGCAGGAAGTCCATAGTGGGAGACTAGTGCTGGCTAAGCAAGGAGACTGGGATGATAAACATACAGCTAAGGGTAGCATAAAATCCCTCCTTTACTTGTAAAGGGTTAAGAAGCTCAAATAATCTGGTTGGCACCTGACCAAAAGGACCAATAAGGGGAGAAGATACTTTCAAATCTGTGGGGGAAGGTTTTTGTTTTGTTCTCTTTGTGTATTCTCTCCGGGTCAGCGAGGAACCAAGGCAGGGAAAATACATCTCCTAAAGCCATACCTGAACTAAGCATCTAAGATTACAAATTGTAAGTAATAGGAAGGAAATGCGTTATATTATTTTTTGTTTTAGCTTATAAATTTTCCCTAGGCTAAGAGGGAGGTTTATTCCTGTTTTTTTGGTAACTTTAAAGTTTTGCCTAGAGGGGAATCCTCTGTGTTTTGAATCTGATTACCCTGTAAAATTACCTTCCATCCTGATTTTACAGAGGTGCTTCTTTTACTTTTTCTTTATAATAAAGTTCTGCTTTTAAGAACTGGATTGGTTTTTAGTGTCCTAAAAACCCAAGGGCTGTTCTGTGCCCACCTTGTTAACCTATCTGGTTGGCATATTATTCTCAAGCCTCCCCAGGAAAGGGGGTGAAGGGGTTTGGGGGATATTTTGGGGAAACAGGAACTCCAAGTGGTCCTTTTCCTAAATCTTTGTCTAACTCACTTGGTGGTTGCAGCGATACCATTCCAAGGACAAGGAAGAATTTGTGCCTTGGGGAAGTTTTTAACCTAAGCTGGTAGAGATAAGCTTCGGGGGTCTTTCATGCAGGTCTCCACATCTGTACCCTAGAGTTCACAGTGGGGAGGGAACCCTGACAGAAGCCTGTGGATCGTAGTTGGGGACTGGCTAGGATGGAACAAGAAAAGAGAACTGGGACAGGGTGGAATGGGTTAAGCTTGGA